TTCAAATCTCATACCATAAAGGGGAAAAAAAACACCAAACAAGCAGACTTTGTTTGGTTTGCTTAGACTACACCAACAGCCTTATTTCACTGACATACACACTCTTCCTACACAAATATACAGCTGTTCAACCTTTAATAGTATCCATTCCTTTGCATTACCACACTAAACCACACCCACCCAGCAAATTAAGGGAATAATAATTCCAGGAAATCTTTCATTTGAGAAACCACTGCTAGATTTTTAGCATACTTCTGCCCTTTCTCTCAAGTTACTCACTTTTAGAGCCACAAGAAAAGCAGCACTGAAATTTAGTGCTTGCATTCTTTGTTTTGTAAGATAAGAACAAGCAAGGGCTTCAAGTTCAGCCTCAATGGCAAAACACTTGAAAACATCACTTGAAAGAAATATCAGTATTAGTAAACTGCCTATGTTTTTATCCTATTTTCATTTCAAAATGTAACCACCCAAAGGCAATTTACGTTCTTGTTTACAACACAGATGTTAATGCTTCAGCATAGCTATAAGCCCTCTATGCCATTGCACATCTGTACCTTGTCCTTGAACAAATCACAAAAGCCAGTTTAATGCACAGCCTTGTTTACCCTGTGCAAGGGTGAATTCCCCTTGTTCAAGGCCAGAACTAAAGCATGTTTTTTTCCCATTAGTATATATGTTTTCTTTTCAGACAAAGTTCGTGCTTCACTATCCCAAACCTTGTGCTGGCATACTGAACAAAGGCTAGAGGTGAGTTTCAAGTGTATTTCCAGCAGCATGGGTTAGGCAGAATATACCAGGAATTCCAATTTTTATTCTGTCAGCTGCTTTTCTGCTACCTATTCTTTTACCCTTGTTACAGGCTTTTTGCAGCTTTACATATATACAGAAAATTACAGAGCAGAAAACTCAGTTTGGTTGCTTTGTGGCAGAAAATGAGACCCCAGCTTGAGGATGATTCAGATGGATGGCAACAAAAAGGACATTTAGCAATAATTGAGCAGTTCTGTGTGATCAATGGATAGAAGCTTCACGCAGTCTGCATACTCTGTACGTATGTATTTCCAACATGTGAGTGACAAGCAAGGTCAAGTGGCACCAGAATAATCATTCTGTCCATATTATTCATAGCACAGTGGGTATGACAGCTTGGCATTATTGCCTTTCAGGATGAAAAAGCTCTGAACAGATTCTCAAGTACAGCTTCACTGCCCCAAACTATGCACAAACTGTCCATTTGTGAAGTGTGAATGACAATTCTCAGGCAGCAACAGAAGTTCCTACCAAAGATCTTAAGATAATGGCTAAAAACATCACTCTTCAGTAGGGAAAGGGGAATTTCCTGAACATGTCATATTTACCCGGGATCTATTTATTCCGAAATTCAGAAAGCAGAATACTTTTTTTTCTTTAAATACAGAGAGTTGTTTCAGTCCCATTCTACAGTTGATCAGATCCATATTCTCACCCTTTGCCATATTTCATTTAGTGAGGTTTTACCCCAAAGCACTCACTAGCAGCAATCTTTCATATAAAGGAAGTAGAAGGTCCACAGTTAATAGTTGAGCAAAGAAATGGGTGAGGATATGCCCTGCCCTTGTCCTTTTCTTGCAGAGCTAGCAACAGTCAAGACCCGACTTTGTGAAAAATTAAGTGGAAAAAATGTGAAAAGGAAATGAAGTATTTAAAGTATTGACGCATTTATGAAGTATTTATTATCTGTCAAAACTTCATATAAAGAGCAGCTCTTAAAATACTGATGATACAGCACATAAAGCCGTTTCATCTCTCAAAGATACTGAACTAAGATCCTAAATCAGCCTGCCCTGAACCACCCACAGAGGCACAGCTCTGCAGTCAGAGCCCAGAGCTCAGTCTGGGTGGTTGGCAGCACAGGGCGAGCAGGGCTTCCCTCCCCTGCTCCCCAGGGATACTGGGAGTCCCAGAGGAAGTACACTAATACTTTGTCATTAACACACACAGGGCTTAAAAGGAACAAAGACTGGTCATGTAATCGCACACAAATAAAGGATGTGCTTTATGTTTCTGCTTCGTAACACAGCCCAGGTGGCCAGCCCCAATATTCAGCAAGCACTCAGGTGTTTAACAGCCCAGCACGTGCCTCCTGCCCCCACAGGCAGTGCCAGGCCTCGGGCTTCCACTTGATTCAGCTTCCAGCAACTATTAAAAAATTAATCTCAATTAATCCCAAACATTCCCCTTCTTTACTCCTTTATTTGGCTGTTGTTACCAAGGCTACAAAAGTCACATACCACAGCATCTCTTTTATCGCATGGGGCAGTGGAGGCAAACCCTGAGGAAGTCAGCTGACAACACAAGTCCTGGTGAGAGCACCTGGAACTGCTCAGACACTTCCTTAAATAACCTGATGTGGGGACTGTGCACTGAAGGGCTTGATTTTTTCAAAAGACCAGATTTTTTGTATTTTTTTTTTACTTATTTTCTCTTTAAGTTTGTCCTCTCAAGGAAACCACAGACCGTCTCCATGCCCACTGACCAACCGAACTTCTCCCAGCCACTGTCGTTTCCAAGAGCTGCTTAATTCAGCCCAACACAGTGATCTATGGGACTTGCAAATCAGCATCTTAAACAAGTCACCTCCAGCTACAAGCAAACAGAAAATAGGAATGGAGAGAGCACTTGCTGTAACACATTGCACCTTCGATTACCAGTACACACTTATTCCAGTTTTATAGTATTTAGGGGGTAGTTTCTCAGGAGTACTTTTATTTTTAAAGTTTCCACTGCTTATGTTACTGGTGCAACCCTGAGGAACTAGAAAAAGTTTTTGTATTAAGTATTTCTTAATACAAAACAGAGATATTCAGATGTGCATCTATTCTTTCTGGTTTAAAACAGTGATTACTCAATTAGTAGCTAATTACACTTCAGGGTGTTTAAAACAGAGGATTATTCCAACAGAAGTTTTCCTAAAGCAAGTACCTTTCTTCCAACTTTGAGAAGACAAATGAAGATACACTGACTTCTTTTTCTCTGTTGTTTTTGCTTCAGTCCTCTAAAGCACAGCATCACCACTCATCCCCATATACACCACAGCTGTGCAGCTAAACAGGGTCCTGGACACCAAGGAGTGGCTCAGAGGACTTCCAGAACAGGCTCCAGGGGCACAACCTGAAGATTTCAAGCTTCTCAAGAAGTCATATGTAAAAAAATGCTACAAAAATTTCTTTACATAAGCAAAATTAGCTGTCCCTGCAGAACAGTCACACGCCAAAGGGAAGAGCAGCTTTCGTATATCCTGAAGAATTTAGTGTAACCGAGCCACAACATCTCAAGTTTTTATTAACAGTGTTCACTCCCTGAACTCAAGAGAATCACCCAATTTATAATAAAGCAGCCCTTCATACTGTGAATATTTACAAGCACATCTTATGTCATAACACTGAATGCGTGGCACTAAGGAAAAAGCGAGTATCATCCGTTCCACAGGGAGCCACCAACTCACAGGCACTGCCCAAAAAGAGACTTTCATGCTGCCTTAATACAGTGCTAAAATTATTCTGTATCTTGCTAGTCATAGTGCACTGGGGGAGCAACAGAAAATGCATCATTATTGTCCGAGTGCTGCCCTACATATAGGGAATACATTAACCTTTAAACACACAAAATACTCTGTCATGGGGAAAAAAGAGACACTAAGTTTTGTGGAGCAAGGAGGTGTGTAATATCCAAAAACACTGCACACAAATTAAGCCTTTTATAATGAGCACAGGAAAAACAGAACTGTCACGAATCTCAATCTTAGTATATTTGCTGGCTGATCTCTTCTGCAATAGATCACTATTACCACTATTTAAATTCCAAATTGCACTGTGAAAACAGCTTTACCAAAATAAAAATAAAAAAAATACACAAAACAAAACAAACAAACAAACAAAACCAAACAAAACCAAACAAAACCAAACAAAACCAAACAAAACCAAACAAAACCAAACAAAACCAAACAAAACCAAACAAAACCAAACAAAACCAAAAAAAAACAAAACAACAGGAATACAGTCAGGTGCTCTTCTGTGTTTGAAGCACGTACTTATTTCAGCAATAAACATATTTTACAATAAAGTAGGATTTGAAGCTTTAGCAGGTAAAGACTACCAAGAATTTTCAGACTGAACTTAAAGGGTGCGTACAAATAAACATGTGTACTTCGGTGGTCAATACTGCAGCTCTAGCAAAAAAAAGGAGACTATTTTATGTTACAAATTCTAAATCAATTTTATGAAAGACTGCTGATGAGTAGCAAACAAGCCCCATTGGCACAAACATGTTAAATTACTGGGAATACAGAACCAGGAGGTTTCAAGTTGCATTCATTTAAATACACTGTCTGAACACCACTTTGAGCAAGAGCAAAATTATAAATAAATGGTGTCATAATTATATTTGTAATGGAAATCTTTAATGTACTAAGCCAGAATAAAGCATTCATTTCAAATAAAAGGAGTAGCCAACTTTATTCCTCTGTTAATTGCCACATGGACCAATTTCTTACCACACAGCATGTTGGCTATAAATCTCAACAAGCAGTTTTAAATTGCTGTTATTATTGCTCATCAAGACCAAATAATCCTGGATGGTGTTCAGGGAAGCTTCTGTAAGGTCTATCTCAAACAACTATTAATTCATCATTTCCATGGGGATGGAACTACAAGCAACAACCACCCACTCCTCCACTTTCTAAGTAGGAGGGGGCACAGAAAAGATGCAAAGAGACTGCAAAATGGGACTGACAAATAACTAACAAATAAATTCTAGAGAAATCTCCTAGACTTCCAAGAAAGTCATGACTCATTCTGGAGATATTAAACTCCTAGAATACATAGAGCAGCCACGTCTGCAATTTCTCATTCCTAAGTGCTTCAGTATATTTTCAGAACTGCATATCCCATTTTTGGGGAGATGACAGAATAGTATTCCATAATGCAAGCAATGCTCATCCACATATTCCTGTATCCTCTTACCTTGGATGCACTGGAGGGTTCCATCCTCAGCCCTTATTGTAAAGGTTTCACCTGGATTAACTTGAACGAAAAAGACCTGCAGAAAGAAGAAAAAAAAAAATTTGTTTCGCTGTGATCTTCAAAAATGAATTTTCCCCAACACAAGTGTGTTATCCTTTCTCTGGAAGAGGCGTGGACTGAACAGACTGGTACACCACATCTTTGGGTACCAGCAGGGTGCAAGAGCAGGTAGAGATTTGAAGTCCACCTACCCGTCTACATTTCGAGAGCTGAAATGAAGATGTAACTTGGTGGTGCACAGGTGGGAATTATGGCTTTGGGATCCACACCAAACTCTTGAGAGTGTGTTTAACTTGGCCAAATGCTGACAGCTAAGGACATAAATCTTCAGATCATTGGCACACGAGAGCCGAGAGCACACGTAACAAACTTAAGGCAGCACCAACCCATGCTGGGATTTCAAGTTCACAGGAATAGAAGTTTTTTTGCCATGTAAGGGAAGTTGATTTGTTACATTTTTTAAAATTTATCCTTCAGTCTTACACATAGCAGATCTCAGTTAAGCAAAATCCATAGGCACACACACAGTTCAACATCTGCATGCAGAACCAGCAATGAACTATTTATGTATTAACAAATATAATATTTTTTAAATAATAAAAAGATCACCCCCGTCTCCCATTGCTGAATTCTGCAGACGATGGGAAAGCTACAAACACCAGGAAGCACCACAATGTCTCCCAGTTCAGGGTATGTTACACACATCTTTATTCATTTTCCAGTGTCTGAAATCATGGGTTTAAAAGTTTTTACTTACATTTCTTTCTTTAATGGACAGTTTCACTGGGAACTAGTGACCATTTATCCCCTCTTGCTGTTTGTGAAACTGGTACTAAAATACTTTAAACACACTTCTGCAAACTGTGCATTGTCAGAAGTTCAATCAAGATATGAACTAAATTCTCAGATTATACCAAGATTAACCTAATTTTTTTTTTTTTTTTTTGGTGAAACCTTCCTCTCCAAATTTAGGTCTGGTCTTTACATTCTGGGATGTCTGCATGCAGAATTTAATCATTTTATCTGGCAAGACAATTTGAATTCATGTTGTGTTTCTGAATTCCTTAAACCAGATAATTATTACCTAAAAATGACCTTTTGAATTACAGTAATCCTACAGAAACCCATTATTCCAGCAACAATTTTAAGGCACAAGCTGGAAATCAGAGAAATGACATATGAAAGCCATTATGTTGTCTGCAACTATCACTTCTCAGGGAGTGCTGATCAGTGTGGATCTGATCCAGCATACAGAGCACAATAAATGGTTCAGAAAAGATAAGAGGCACAAAGCCATTCCATCCCTAATCTCCAAACAATTGACATTTAAGTGACAGCATTTAAGTGCTCTTTTGGTATGAATAGGCATGAATTATCCACAACAGGACATGGGCATCAGGTCAACAGAAGCACAGAGCAAAGCAATGTCATCCGGCTTAAAAAACCCCAAAACAACCAACAAGCCAGAAACCAGAACACAAAGAAGCAAAGAATTATAAAAATATTCCATCAGCTTATTTGCATTAGATGTGTAAACCAACGACTCTAAAGCTGGTTATTTACTAACGCATTTGATTAACATAAATCAGAAGACCTCGCACACCTTTACACCTTTGGAAGAGCTTGGTCCAGCTCCTCAAAATACAGACCCTAACCAGACTGAGGCCTCCTGCATGAAAAGCTCCAACTTTTTGTTAAAACAGAGAGCTGAGTATAACAGAAGATACAAGACCGACAGGGAGAGAGGGACTCCTCTGACTACACAACCCTATCACAGAGTTATCAGAAGGGATTCATTTACAAATTCCTGTCCAAGGAGTCCATCACCAGCCCAAGCATCCACATTAGCATGCCTGCAACTGTCCTTTAAAAATAACTCCTTGTATTTCCACATTAAAAAAAGATTATATACCCAATAACAGCTGTTGCTTATGACAGTCAAAATGCGGTCGCGTTATCCTTGCCTAATTCACACACTTTTTTTAAAACAAACAAGTTGTTCCAGCAACAAATGAGTTTCCTGTAGGGCAGCAGCCACACAGCTTCATCCCCCCCATCAGGAGCCCATGGGCAGAGCGTGGGACTTATATATAGTAGCTTCTATTAAAATGTTATAGATATGGAAATAACTCCTTATTGACAGATGCTCAAATTAGCCACCTTTGGAGCAGAAGAAAACATTTACAGGCTGTTGCTGGGGGAAAGCAGTCATATCAAGAGCAAACAGGAATAGCCAACGTGTGACTGATGTGGGTCAACACTGGAGCAAGGGCTGGGCACAGAGGACAGTCAGCACACACGTGTAACTGAAGTGGACTCACACCCAGGAGCAGTGATCAGGTTCCTCAGGCAAGATCCTCCACTTGCCCTGCACTGCAGGCAGACCCTTCCATCAGGCTGCAACCCAGCCCCAGCCTACCCTTTCTCAAAGCTGGGGAATAATCCAACCCATCACCCAACCCCCTCTGCACTCACCCCATGCTGCACATGACAAGAGATTGCAACTGCAGGGCACCGACCATACAGAGCTGAAGCCAAACCATTAAACCAGCACATACTGAGTATTATATATTGGCAATCTTCCAGCCAACTCCCCCAATTTATCCCAGTTTCCTGGGACAAATAATGTCCAGGCGCACTGCAATTTCTTTTGTTTATACACACTAAGTATATAAAACTAATTCCGAGATTTAGTTTTCCCCACGTCCTCATAAACAATAAAACCATATTCTGCAGCCTGAAACGCAGCTTTTCTCTTCCCTTTCACACAAGAGATCTTCATGAGAACGCCTTGCCTCTAAAGCTTTTAATTAAAAATCTGAGGAAAGCAATAAAAAAGTGTAAAGATAACGTCTTCATTTTAATGAAAACAAACCCAGATGAACTTTAATTGCCCTACGGCTCTTCCAATATTCATCATCCTGAATATGCACATTTATGAGATGGCAACAGAGGAGAGAGAGCCTGAAGAGCCACTTGGAGCCCACAGTGCTGGTCAGCAGCATCTCGAGGGTGGGGTTTGACATCCGAGGTCACTCCAGCCCAGCTTCAGTCCCTGGCCTCCTCCCATCCAAAAATCAGAGCTTGTGACAGCTGCAAGCAGGGCGTCAGCAGCACAGTCCCAAAGGCTTTTTCTTTTCCCTAAAAAGTACTTGGATGTTTAATTTAACAGTTTAATCCACCCGGTGCTGAAGCCCAGCCTTACCTGCTGCATCCTCAGAGAAAGCTTATTATTTCCATAATGCACTTCCTGCTTTTATTTGGCATTTCAGAATGTCATTACATTTTATCGAAAGCCATGTTTGTTGAGTGATGAATGTTTCTAAGTTGCATAGTTACTATAAATATTTACAGTCCCACACAGTACATCCAGTCTAAGTTTTCATGACAAGCCAAGCACATGTAAGTTGTGTCCCTCTTGTTCCCACTGTCTGTCTCTCGTGCCTACTGGGAGCTGGGAAAAGAGACTAACAGACCTGCCCACAAAGCTAACACAGGCTTAAAGCTCAGATTCAGGAATATATGAACTGAAAGAGAGCAGGTTAAAATTAGATTTTAGGAAGAAATTCTTCACCGTGAGGGCAGTGAGACACTGGAACACATTGCTCAAAGACGTTGTGGATGCCTCATCCCTGGAAGTGTTCAAAGCCAGGTTGGACGGGGCTTGGATCAACCTGGTCTAGCTGGAAGGCGGCTGGAATGAGATGAGCTTTAAAAGGTCCCTTCCAACCCGAACAATTCTGTGATTCTATGATATAAAATTTATATACACTGTGGATAAACAGTCTAACACAAAGACAGAAATGTTACCTGATAGGGACCAAAGGGCATATGCTATTATCAACTTTTTTGTGTCCTATTGGTTTACTTATGCACGTGTTTAGGCACACAGAAGAAAACTCACTCTCAAGTCAGGCCATCACCTCCCAGCTGCTTTGTGGGCCCTCATCTGTGAGCACAGGTGAGCCAGTGAGTAGGACAACATTCACCTGCCTCCATGTGATGCAATACAGTCCCCATATAAAATATTTCCCCTTCCTGAGAAGGACCATGGCCATAGCATTTTCCTTGCTATGGTCAAACAGCCCCTTGCACTGCTGTGGCTTATTAAAACCCTCTCTTAAGCATTTTCCATGTGGTGAATTTTGCCTTCCCTGTTTAGATGTATCATGCTTCATACAACTGGGGAGCATGGCATCACAGGCACCCCCTGGGATCCAGCCACAGGTTCCTCACAAACACTTTAAATCATAAGAATTTACTGTATTTACAATTTCTACAGTGCAAATCTTTTGGAATACATTGCATCTTTGGGGAAAAGAAGAAATCAAACAACTCAACACCAAAAAACAAAACAGTCGCTTGGATCTGTACTATATTCTACTTTAAAAAAAACTGTGCCCCAGATCCCAGTGAATTTCCACATCCATTCCACGGGAAGGTCCAAAGAATTCTGGGTGCAATACTCTTCTTAGTAACACAGTTCTCAGCCACATGGGAGTGGAAAGAGTAAATACTTTCAGCCTCTCTTCAGTAAGAAAAAAAACCCAGGGAACACACTACATCTTAAAAAATAAAACACTGACTTTTGAAAACTAATTAAACAGTATTTCATTAAAAACTAATAACAGCGTTCTGAGCTCAATCTTTTTTTTGATAGGACAAAAACCAGAGGCACGAAAAGAGGCATGAAGCAATTCAGTCAGTTTACCTTGAGTGCTCTCAATAGCAAAGCCCATAAGTGACATATTCTGAACCTCCTAATTTATGACACGTTAAACACATGCCAAAAAAGCAGTATAAATAAAACAAATATATAATTCAAGAAACCCTGAAGAAGTAACTGTACATTCTGGCAGGAAGTTCATTCACTCAGCTCAGATGCTGTGGTACAGTTCAAACACTTGCACGGTGCACAGAGTTGTGCTACAGGGAAGTACCAAATCTTATTCCTGATTCAGACTGACTCTTGTCTCCCTCGTTTAAAGCATGTGACCCCAAAAGATGAGAACAAGCACATCCAGCACTATGCACAGTGCCTGAGCTCCAGCCAAATGGTGAAAACACAGAGCTGATAAAACACACCTTTACAAAGATCAGGCAAGCAGAAAACTTGCTACACCTTTGCAGGCACAGTGAGTAAACCCAGCTGAAATAAAACTTCACACATTACATCTCCCAACATTCTGTACAGATGTGCTGTAGCACAGCTAGCTGCCCCTCCACTTTTTACTACAACCTTTTTAGAGCTTGCAGTGGAGTACCTACAGGAAAGCATTGAAATTCTTAGACCAAAAGGTTAATTATCGCTCCCTGAATCCCCAAAGGAGTTACAAGTGGATTAAAAGCAGAAACAGAGTAAGCAGCAGCTCTGGAAGGGCCATGAAAGCATTAAATACGGTCAGCAGTAGTGGAAATAAAGTGTGGGAAACTGAAAAAAAAAAAAGTTAGTGTTAAAAATGCCATTTTGGGTAGTCTAGGGAAGAGACTCAAGCAGGCAGAGACATTCCTCGCCCTGCCCTGTACAGCTCCGCAGCACTTACCCTCAGGAAGATAGAGCAAATGAACATTCCCATGCAACTGCCTTACACTGCAGGACTCTTCACTGGCAGAACTGCCTTTTGCATCCCTCTCTAGCTGGCTGCTGGCAAAGCCAAGGTGTTTCACCAGCTCCAGTCTTTCTTCTACATATTTAAGAATGGGTCTTTTGAGAAAGGTCTTTTATGAAAGGGCTTTTCTCTGGAGCTCAGCATTTCCAACACAGCTCACAGCACAGCTCTATCATGCTGGCACGGCTGAGGCTCCACAAATCCAGTAACACATAAGGGTGAGCAACAGCAAGTGTGCCCAGAGCATCCCATCAGACCCTCCATTCTGTTAGCTCCAAGGCACAAGGCACTGATCTCCCTGCTGGCCACACTGCAGCCTGGAAAACTCCACATGTCTCATCTCCCATCAGCTCAGCTGTGGTGCTTTCTAATAGAGATTGTAATTACACCCTGTAAAAGCACATGTCCTCCTAAAACTAGCACCTCTTTATGGAATAATATAAGCCATCTTTCTAAGGAAGTCATTTCTATGAGAGTCTATCCTGAAGGCTGTTCCTGCCTTGCAAGTGACTAAGATAAATCTCTTTCAAACACTTAACATTCACTTCTACTTCGTAATAAATCATATTAAGAACATTTAACATAGTTCCATTTGCAAGATCAAAGCATTTATTCCAATTTAATTCCATTTTAGAACTGTACTTTTAAAAAGCAAAGACATCAACTAAAGCTTCAGGAATAAGATGAAAATGATAAAGCACAAAGGTAGTTAAGCTTTGCAACTGATGAGGGCACATCCAGATTAGAAGCCAAAACAGTCTCACTGGAAAACTGGTATTCCAGCTACAAGCACTTAAAGAGATAAGGTGATGAGGTCTAAAAGCATCATCCAGCAAACATTTAAGCAGAAGAGGGACCTGGCCCAGAACTGTTCTGCTGAGTCACATTTGCACAGCACAGTAAAAGCAAGCAGCAGTGTGCTTCCAGTGCACCAGCAGTTCTTTTTACTGCAAAACATTAGCTGAGAAACTACTTTAAAGGCAACAGAGGCATCTGCCAAGCAAGGCTGCTGAATCATCAAGGATGGGGAAACTGAAAGACTGGGCTTAGAGCCCCATCTCAAAGGAGGGCTCAGAACACTTCACTTATTCTTTCTGAAGGACCTACAGGACAGTCTGACCTGATAAATGGTTTCCAGAAAGGAGGAAAGCATGTATTTAAAGAGCAATTATCCTATCCTATAAGATTGTTCTTTCACTTAAGCATATTAATATTAGACTTGATAAATACAACCATTAAAACCTTTCTTTACTATTTTTTCAAGTCAAAGCACACTGTGCAGAAATTACTTTAAAAAAAAAAAAAATCACAGCAATGAAAATCTACATCATAATTAGAATCCAGATAACCAAACAGCCTTTGAAGCTTACAAGGAAAGTGTAAATTATTCTTCCTCTTGAGGTTGCTCTAGCTCAAAATGCAGCTTGGAAGGAGAATGAGAAGTAAGACAATGACATTTTACATTGATTTGAGAAGGACAGCTTGCTTCTACCTTCACCAAAATACTTTGCTGAAATGTCTCACATCAGGAGGGAACCAAATTGAGTAACACAGAAAAACTGCTAGGATAGATGTTCTACAAAGAGAAACCTTAACCCCAGTGACATGTTTGCAAAGCTACCACCTATCAGCTTGAACCTCCAGGCTGTAACCCAGCATGAGGGCACCATTAGGGTCCTATGATCATTCTACCAACTTCTGATCGAGCTTATTACAGAATATCTCCCAGAAAAAAAATTAAAGCAACTGTAAACTTACCTTCCTTCAAAAACCCCACTCAAAATTCACGTCTGCTTCTTATAATGAAGCACAGGGTAGTACACAGGTCTGCTGGGATCAGCACATTCAGGTAAGCCAAGAATAGCAGACATCACTGCTATTCTCCATTTCTTTCCTGCTTCCCTTTTTTCCAATCTCAGCATTTTTAAGATCTTAAAATCTCATCACAGATACTGTGAGACGCCTGGACAAGTGTTAGCACAAGTAGATCATAAGACTAACTTTCCACAAAGCCCGCAAATATGCAGCACTTACAGACATTATTTCAATCCCATTATTTTTACTTCAATGAACACACATGCAAATAAACACATTCAATTTAATGGTCCACTTCAAGCATTGTTTTTAATGTCTTTTTCGGCGCAAAGGCAGAGCTCTGCGTCCCAGGAAATACTGTGCCCTCCCTAGCGCTAAGGAAAGCCATCTTCCCAAGTTTTAAAAATCCCTTGTTGGCCCACAAATAGTTCATTTAAAGCAGCCAAGCTCACTAACCTGCTGTGATGCATCCCCATTCACGATGTGAGGCATCATGGCTACCTCCCCGTTCAGCAACGGCGGCAGCTCCAGCGGGATTTGGTCGGTCATCATCATTGTGACGTACATTCATGGAGAATTTTCCTAAACGGACTTCCTACAAGGAAAAAAAAAAACAAACAGCAGTTAAAGACCCTGGAAAAAAAAAAAAACCAAAAAAACAAACCCACTTGCATTTCAGGAGGTCCTTTTGCCATCAAGCAACTTAAGCAGGACCCCTTGTTTTGCATCAGGATGGCACACGGGAACTCACGGCTCTGAACAGAGGTTTTAAATGGTGGATCAAAAGCACAGAAAGTCAAGCTTCCATGCAAGACTTCCAAAAACCAACTAGCCAGAATTCCACTCTTTCCCATGATTATAATCCTCAGCCCTCACCACTGAAACAGGCAAGTTCTGAGACACTTTGAGAGAGCTTTGCTGTTCTCCTAAAAATCAGCATCCTGCTTGCTACCACAGCTCTCAGAACTACATCACTCCCATGATTAAGATGTTACAGCAGTTTCACTCAATAGCCACACTTCAAAGCCAAACACCTTCATTTTCTTTCTAGGGCCTTGTAAAGAGCATGAACCGCCACTACAACACAAAAAGCAGACACCTGACTTGCATTTAATCATGATCCAAAGGATTAAGGTTTCTGCTGGAGCAGGAGGGACAGCACATCCCCATGCTCTGAACACCCGGTGCTAGACAGAGAACAACAGAAAATGACGATCTCACTTAAGGATTTGTGAAAAATCACACATCGCTTCCAGCACACCCTCCCCCTTCCCAGCTAACTGGTGTGATATGTGAGCATCGCTAAAACCACAAGAAGCTGCCTTGTAAAAACAAGTCTTAATTCAGCATTAAGGGTACCATCATGCTGGTTTACAAGGCAATAATCCAGCTCTAGTGAATAAAATGGATGATCTCATCACATAGTTTATCTAGACTTCTGCACAAGAACTAAGCAAAGCACTCTCACGTGTCCAGTGCTGAGCAGGCAGACTCCTTAGTACCCCTCATGCCAGAGAATCCCAAAGTCCTCCTGAGTAATTTCATATACATCCTAAATTCAAGTTAGAAAAAGAATATGCTGTGACTTAGGTGGCAGGTGACAGTCAGGTATTCAGCTGGCACAAGACCAACAGAGTACAGAGAGGGGATCTTTTGCCCAAGAGCAACAGGGAAGTCCCAGCTCATAAGAAAAGTGTTCTGGGAGCCATAAACCAGGAGGATAATTCATTTGCTCCAGAGGGGATGAAGGACTGAGCCAACCTCATGAGGGCTGGAGCATGTGGTTCCACAGACATAGCATCCTGCAAACCTTACATCCCTGTACCTGTCTGGCACCCAGGTGGTGCCAGGTTCTAAATTTTTTAAAGTTTTTTAGTTTAATGACTAAATTGATAGTTGTCTTCATTTTCATCAACCACTTCCAGAGCTCATTGCAATCCCATCACCTGCACAACCACTTAATGATCAGAAACATCAGCCTGACCAGGAGATGCTCTTCTAGCTCCTGGACACTTGTATGATTTAAAAGTGACAGCAGTGCCCACATGGACTGAATCACATCTATCCTTTCATTGTTATCACGCAGGCCCCTTCACATCTAAGTAGAACCAGAAGACTAAAAGTGCATTTGTTTCTCAGAAGATAAGCAAACCTGGTCCTGTCACCTGCAGCCACACAGCTTGAGACCAGCATTTTAATTTAGTACCAAATTTAGAACAACACTCAAAGCTCTTTCTTGTGTTTTATTTGTATGAAAACACCACTTTTCTAATCATCACTTCACCGAGATATAAACAAAGGCAATGTATTATTATCCACCCTTAAACTAAATCCCTCCTTTTATCTAAGACTCAGTTACAGGACAGAAGTTCAATATGCTTGAGACACAGTTGTTAAAGAACATAATGTTCACAGGAGCTATTTTAAATCCATATGGAGCAGGCCCCTCTCTTCCAAATAAGTGACACGTTCATCTGAAATGAAAGCCCAGACTCGAAAGCCCCAGCTTTAACAGAGTTTAAGCATCATACTGATGCTATTTTCTTGAGGGGAAAAAAAAAGAAAGCCAGACTGTAGCTTGAAGCTACATATTTTCCTAGTAATATTTCCATTCCAGGCACAACAACCAATATGTTGACATTTATTTGCGACATGTCATTATTTAAAGTTTTACAGCTGCATTCCTTTTGCTTTATTAATGGTTTGTCACTACAGCCGTGTCTACACTTGCCTCACTTGAAAGGGAAAAAAAAATAAGGAAAATAAATAAAAGGGCTTCCTGTATTTGTCAGGTCTGGTATGACCCCATCAGAGACGATGCCAGCAGCAGCACTGGCTAAAAGGCACAGCTGGCTACTGGTAGGGTTTTTTGCAGTATTTCACTGCAGGCAGACTTAGGTGAGACAGGGTTAAGACATCTACCGTGAGACTGGCAGACTTCACTCCAAAGCCAAACCCTTTGGAAACAGGGCTCACACCACATACTTTTTGAGCTTATTTGCTCATCCATCCTACTTAAACAGATTTATTAGCCTTGCTTTCACACCCCTCCTAAAACCTAGCGTTCCTCTACCTCAGCGGATGCAAAGTTGATTAATACAAAAAAGGTGAGGTCTGAACACAAGCAGCTTCTTTTTCCTGCAAATTCAGAACATCGACGGAAGAAAACACCAGACAAGGACTCAAAGAGCCAGGTCACATTCCAGGATATGAGAACTCTTCCTTAGCTAAAATATGAACTGCCAAATACTAACCCACAGATTTTTTTTCAGGTACTAACTCAAATTTGGGGTTTTGTCTAGAAAGCTGACTATATTTAAATTTTAAAGAGATATTTCCTGTACGTCTACATTCCCTAGGTTTGGCTGGGACGCGCCACAGCAACGCCAGCGTGGAGCAAGAGGCTTCATCTCCTTCTCTAGTTACCTCCAGGAATATGGAAATCACAGTTTCCCATATTGCTGTAGAGCTAGAAAGAAATAACCATCCAAGTTTGATGTCTCCGTCCCCAATCAAACTTGCAAATCATTTGATGTTTGCAAGTCACCGTTGCAAACCTGATTTTGAATTCAGTACTGCAGCCTTCTGCTGATCCCTGAGATGACTGTTTCCTTGAATTAATTCAATATGTGAATTAGTAATACATAAATTAGTTGCACATGGCACTGGAGAGAAAACTAAAACACACAGAGGAACAAAGTGTAACTATCTAAAACCCCATGTCCATGTATGGTCAATTAACATGACCTAATAGGTTATGTCAGAGTTCTCCTGAAATTCCAAAAGCAGTGTGAACCACATCAAGATACTCAATTCTAATTTTCCTAGAAGGTTTTACCCATGCTATTAATAGGGCTAGAAGCCAAGAACATTTTTCTTCTGTGATTTACTTCCTACCTTCTGTCTTTTACAACACCAAAGAACCTCTTCCAGCCATGGCACACTAATTCGGAGAACCTGGCAGAAGCAAGAGGAGTTCTGAATATTCAGTCCTGTGACCACGCTCTGCAAAGGCTCAATTTTTATTTCCCTGCAGCAGACCATTAAGAGGTACTGAACAAAGTGTTCTGCTTTTTTATCACAATCATCTGGAATTACAAAAGTTGTACTACAACAAGGACAGACAGTTTTCCAATGCTGAGTAGAGCCACATACCCTGGTTTATTTAATATGCAACAAAAATCCAGTGCTAAACACACATTTCATTCGTGCAGTGCTTGCTTATATGTATTCTGTCTGATTAGAAAAGGACACTACATAAAGAGTAAGAAGAACTCCTCATTCAATCCTAGTGTTACTAGAGGAAAGATTTGAAATGCACACAGTATAAACTAAAAAAAGGAAGAATTTTCTTTTTCCAGCCTAAAAACATCCTTACCACCTCAGCATGATGAAGTTCATAGACAGTGCACACACAGGGTTACACAGTCTAACATAAGATCCTTTCTACCATTACATACATATATATTAAAAAGTATGTACTGTATGAGCCCCTTTGATCTCTTACACAGTGGTTGATGCACTGACCAGAGAAGTAATCCAACAAAGCAGGAACCTCCTTGGTACTTTACTACCATGGGAAAAGTTAGTTCAGGTGTGACATGAAAAACCAACTGCACCTCACTGACCCTCAAACACTCATGTTGTTATAACTGGGACAAAAAACAGGAGTTCCTTAAAATGGTTTTGCCATGGTTAAAAACCATGTACGGAATTATGGGTCCCACCTGGCACCACTGAGAAGTCAAACATGGCTTTAAAAACACAGGCCTCAAAAACAGGGAAGACTCAAATATTTCTAGAAGAAAACTCACTTTGGAAAAGAAAGACAATGAAATACAATGAGGATTTTAAAAATCCTTTAGTATTCACAGGAGCCATTACCTGCAGCACATGTTAGTCTGCCATAAAGAAAAATAATCTTGAAACCATCTGTTATTTTACAGGAGTTTGTATGTGCAGTGGAAGAACTGTTGTCAAAGTCTGGTATGTCAAATCATGTCACTGCTGGTTATTATACAGCTGAAGAAATGGGTGCTTTTTCAGGGATATTTTGAACAACCTTTTGAGCAAGACAGAAAAATAACTAGGAAAAAATTGTTAGTACATACAGATGGCGTATAAATATAAACATATTTGTACATACACATACTCAAACACTAAGGATTTAATATGGGTCTATGACCCACCGGGAAGGCTCCAAACGAGCAGTGCTTCCTCTGCACATTCCTGTTTATGTTGGTGTTTGTGTGCAAGAGATAAGAGAGCTCACACACTGCCCCGCTTGCTTATTGTATTTTGTACAGCACACGCTGAAGTTTAAGATTTAATTAAAACATACATAACAATTATATTTTCACTGAAAAGCAGAGCAGTAAATAGAGCTGCTTTCAAGAGACTCCTGCCATGGCTTGCCACTCCAATTCAAAGAGGAGTGGTAATAATTGTTCATGTAGAAAAGCCTCTTGAGACATGAGCAGTACCTGGAGGTATGTGCACAGATGGTTGGTCAAGGCACAAACAGTCTGGAATTTGTCTTGTCTGCTGTGCCTTCATTAGTTTAGTTAAATCACATCCGTCTGAAGAGGGACTGAAACCTGAACGCATTCTTTCCCTGTTTAATTGCAAACACGGTAGATTAGTTTGGAAGCATCCAAACAGACGGGCTTCTTCATAACAATTTTGAAGAAATACATGCAATTCTAAAAATCTGTTATGACAAAAGAAAACAGATTAGAGGGAACACATACCCACAAAGCCACTGGCATTTTATGCGAGGTAGTGAAATGCCTGCTGCTTGCTCTCTGTGCCATTTCAGACACAAGAACACCAAGAGCAGGATCCTATCTCCAGCAAGCTGAAAAGCATAAACATCCTCTCAAAACTTAACCACTGTAATTAATCAGTGGGTTTATTCCCCTCTAGTTTATTTTAAATAACAGCACATTTCAATGTCCATGGTACATTCCATCCCTGAAAACAGAACTACCAGCAGTATTCACAATACTATACAGGATCAAGGAAAGCTAGCCTTGGTTTTCCCCCACAGTGGTGTGAGATTCCCAAGGCAGCAATCCAGACAGTAATGATATGATGATTTTCAGTAGTTTGCATTTATTTAGACCTAAAATTTGACCTCAAGTTTTCCAGGCTTGAAACTCCATCATCACAAACAACAGCAGTTTTGCAACATAACCAGCTGCATGCCCCTCATTGGAAATGTTTGTCATTTAGGAACAGAAAAACTGCTAAGAATTGGTTCCTAGCCTAACCTTAGGAAGAAATGGAATAACCAAGTAACTTCAAACACGTACCAGAAATGAGCATCAGGAATGGGGAGATCAGGTCAAACAGCATCATGCAGGAGTGTCTTATTTCACAAGGCAAGTATAACTAATCAACAGATAATAGCTCTGATGAAATACTGGAATAAAGCAAGCTGGCACACAAAGGAGTCTTTTACCAAAGGAAAACTTTGCCCCACTAGCGGTTTTTCCCCTGGTTTTCCAGAGGGAAATCTTGTGAAAACTCGTGTAGGAAAAGCCAACCCACCCTCCTCCCACCCCACCCACGGCTGGGGTGTGCACGTGCCTGAAGGCAGTCAGACTTGTGTGAAAACCTAATGGAACTAGATTTAAGGGAATAAAATAGGGGTGAAACAGATCTCTAAAATTCTTACTAGGCTTATATTAGCTACGGCTGAGCAGAAAGCCACAGGCAGAAGAGCTAATCCAATGGTTCCACAGCATTCTCACTTTTGCAAATAGTATTAGAGCAGGAAATTCATCTGCTGCTCAAGATCAATTCTAAAACATGCAAACACACCACGCTACAGCCTGCACCACTGGCAGGAGAGCAAGCTGCACAGAGAGACAACTTGGATACAACTCACTCTCACCATTTGCGTTTTCTGTGCTTTTTGTTCAATCTGAACATTAACTTAATAATTTTTGCTATTTATATTTCTTTCCTTCTTCTTTCTCACACCTTTCTTTCCTCACCTTCCTCCATATTAATCATAACAGGTAAAGGGGACTCACAAGGGATGTAGTTGCAAAAATAGAGAAGTTGTCGGGCACACAGTTCTCACACAATTTCATAGCACTTCTTCCAAGCAGCCAAAGGCTGAGGTTAACTCTTCTTAAACAATACTGGCCAATTATTTTTTCTATTATTTTTAGTGTTGTCCTTTCTGGCACAAGTTGCTTTAAATAGCAACTACTTCAAAATTTTTTTACAGAAGTTACTTTATGCACTTCCAAAAATACCAGCAGCAATTAAACATTTCAAACTAATTTTTTCTTTCTTGTCCAGACATTTGAGTTAGAGTGTTCTGGATGCTGATGAATTGCCAGCTGTACAACACACCACTACCTGCACTCACAATCTCTCTACTTTTCTAGAAGACCACAATCCACATCAAACAGGATGAACATCAAGCAGGAAGAGATTTAAATTAAACATTAAAAAGAAATTCTTCCCTGTGACAGTGGTGAGGCCCTGACACAGGTTGCCCAGAGAAGCTGTGGCTGCTCCATCCCTGCAAGTGTCCAAGGCCAAGTTGGATGGGGCTTGGAGCAGCCTGGGCTAGCAGAAGGTGTCCCTGCTCATGGCAGGGGGTGGGAAGGAGATAAGCTTTAAGGTTGACTTTCTGATTCTATGATGACATAATCCTCTCCAGCAGGAAACACAAAGCTCTCCCAGCTGTGGTCCCCCACATGCCAAGGACACGAGCGGAGGATGACAGTGCCCTGAGAGCCCCCATCCCACAGCACAAACTGGTCCCCTAAAGGCAAAGAGCCATTCTGTGCAACAGAGACAACACTGCACACTTTGTAACTACACGATCACCCTTTTAAGGTTCTCTACACTCTGTACTGGCTCTGACAAAACCAATTTGCAAACGAAATTCACACCATCAGCTTAAACTTGATTGGAATAACCTGCAATTTGCTTGAAACAATTTGTGTGAGAATAACACCTTTCCATCCAGACCTACACCTGTCATCAGTTTGGGCCCTGATCCTGTAAACATTTGCACCAGGGTATCTCTTTATGTTCTCTTAATAGTTTTATTAAGTACTGAACTCCCCTAGATCAGCGCTGCAACCCCATGTATGTGCCCAAGGACATGGGCAAAACCCCTACCCAAAGAGTAGTTCTTGCACAAAGGTGCAAGTCAGATAAGCCACAGGAATGCTTGATCTGTTTGCTTTCTCCCTCCATTTAATAGCCAGAGTATTAATCATGGTTTCAGGCTGATAAGCACAGCATTTGTCGATAAATACCCTCCCCTTCAACTCTGCTCTCTCAAATAATATCACAAAGACCTTGGTTATCTCTTCTGCAGTTCCTGTGCAGTGAGGAACCTACTGGAATCAGCGGGGTGGGGATTATTTATTTTTTTTACCACTAATTAAACCACAAAAAAAAAAAGGCTATCTACGCTATCGATCTGCAGCGCTTGAAAAGCACACATACCAAACTCCATCTCCAACCAGGTCTCAGCACACCTTTGTGCAGCACAAACTTCTGCTGTCGCCATTCACGGCTAACCTGACTCCGGGCTGACGCTGCGCTGACAAAGTGGCTCATTGTGTTATTGTGGGAAAGCGCTTCGGAGAGATCTCCCATTCAGCCCCGGGATTCAAGAACAGGCATTCACACGGAGCGGCCGCTGCCAGGGAGCACCTCTGGATGGCTGCCGGAGAAGTTTCTCATGTAGGAAGAAAGTTGAGACCGCTGTTATCACCGTGCTCGCAGGATCCAAGTGCCTGAACTGCATTATTAACAAGGAAACCAACCCAAAACCCGCTGCCCAAACCCCATCACTCCAGAACTTTTCAGCATCAGGAGAAAGAGTTAAAAGTTTTGTTACACCATCCATCACTCCCACAGAACATTAAAAACTCCTGCAAATTTTACTTTACTCTTCTGAACTACTTCACGAAAATTAAGATTACCTATGAAGGCTTCTCTTAATTTGAGATCGGCAGGAATTTATATTGAAAAAAAAAAGGCCCATAACCCACCAACAAAAAAGAAACCACACACACAAAAATCAAATCATTGTTCCATACAACTACTGAGTAATTTTCATATCCAGGACCCTACAAGAAAGAAGCCTCTCCTACTCCAGGTATCCGATTTTTATCTCCAATGATAACAAAGCATCAAGGAATCAAAAGCACTGAATCTTTAAACACAGAGTACTAAGGGGGAGTTGCTTTCTTTAAGGTGGGAAGACAAAGGGTCTCTATCTAGACAGAAAATACTGTGCTGAATATGCCACCTGCTGCAGCTATAAAGCTCAAGGTGTCTATTAAATGGTTTAAAAGGGAAAACCTTTGGGGTTTGTTATCTGTCTGAAGTGGGGCACAGTTTGTAACACAGACTGAAGCAGAAATGAAGTTCTGTTGATAGAGCAGGGGCAGTCCAGTGAGGTCACAGCACTCAGGTGATCTTTACGCAATTTAATTCTGGATCCTCACCCTTCTCAGCTAATTCCCACTCTCTGCCAAATCATTCAGGGAATGGAAAAATGAAAATTATTCTCAGTAAAAATAAATTGGTATTGTGCTTTGATAATCATAAACACAGTGAAGTACTGGACAGCTTGTATTTAGGACCTGGGAAACCAACAGCACTGAAAACTACACCAAGCCCAGCAGTGCTGGTTGAAAGGCAGTCTCATGGCATGGCGCCAGGGGGATGGATGCTCTTCACGCCCTGGGTGCAGTCAAGAGGCAGCAGCACCAATCCTACTAGTTGTAGGAGTTAGTCATTACTAAGTTATAAGCCTTTCTTAATTAAAATCTCCTAATATTTCACTTATTGACTCTGATACTAGCACTTTCAGTTAAGAGTAGTACTGAAAGATTATTAACACCTTATACTAATTACTTTTCACATAAAGAAAAACTTCTGAAGATCAGTGAGAATGTTCCTAAATCCTAGAATAAGAATGCATACCTTCCAGTTGCAGCCCATTGCTAGAAACCCAGGCTCCTCTGGGAATAATTCCTGAAAGACTGAATCCAAAGGCAACTTATTGTTTCTGGTTTTTTAATGAAAAAATATAATCCAAAATATCCTATTAGTGTTTTCTCCTGTTTTGAAGCTAAGACAGCTTGTTGTTACTGTAAGCTTAGGCTGAAAATAAAATAAAATAAAATAAAAAAGGAGAAGGAATTGCAAGAAAACAATTTGTTACTCTATGTCTGGAGATGGATACCTAGAGTTTGTTTCCTAAAATCTTGGAGGACACAGATGTGACCATCTAAGCCTACACAGATTCCCTTTAAGACAAAACAGTTAGTATTAACCTGTAGGCTCCCATTAAAAATTAATCCTGAGGGAAGGCAGCTCAGGTGGTCTATGGGACAGACACCCATGACTGCAGACTGATGGGGGCAACACCCTGTGTGTTGGAGACCAGCCCACATGCCCTGGGTGGCCCACACAACTCTGCAGAAAGTAAAATTTTAAAGATAAAGAATAATTAAAGGGCTTCAAATAAAGCTATAGAGAGACAAGAGGCATGTATATGTAAGACAATAATAAGAACCAAAAGCTGAAGTAGGTAAAGGAAAAGTAAATTCCTGCACAAACTGC